AGTAGAGTAAGTCCTTATCTGTCTTGAAATTTTTGCTCTGTGAGAGAGCAAGTACTGAAGGCGACTATCATCTTTCTAGAGTCAACCAAATAAAATCATGAAGCACTATAATTTTTCCTGGTTTAGGACAAAATCATTCAAACTGGGGGTGTTTGGTCTCTCTTACTAAGGTAATCTGTTAAAAGGAACTTTCCATTGGTTACAATGGTTTATTTGTGTCTAGAGGTTTTTTCTTTGTTGTTTTTTTTTTGGTTTGTTGTTTTGTTTTGATTTGTTTTGGTGAATTGATCTGGGGAAAAAGGATAGCCCAAAAATACATATGTCTTAATTTTAACAAGACTAAAATGGACTCACAATTTTTCTGTTACTTTTAATGAGAGTTTTTTTCCTCTACACCCAGCCAGATGCAAATAACCAAGAAGGCAGGGGGCGTTTTCTGAATGTCATCAGTCTCAACTTTTCAGAATGGATTTATGGGAAATTTCACAAGACAGAGAGTACACCCTTGGTAATTCTTTCAATCCCTTCAATATAAAGCAGAGGATAAGAATTATGATATGGATTTCTGTACTGTTCAACCTGATGACATTTGCAGTTATATAGATTCAACGCTCTTTGTACTTCTCCGGAGTTAAAATTCTTGAACCATATTTATGACGGGTGAACAAGGCTTGAGTACTTAAATTTTGCTTCTGTTGATTTAAAATTGTAGGCTGTGATGAAAAATAGCAATTAGCTTTGTCATCCTAATGTCAAATATAGAAGTCTCTCAGACCTATCTCCAAACTGGGATTTGATTCATGCTTTGTCTTTGACAAATATGAGACCACATATTTGGGGTTTTTTTGCACTGAGGTAGATGCCCAGAGTAGAAATAATACTGACTGATTCTCTTTGGTGTAGATACACATCACTGAAACTTTGGAAAGTATGTAAACAAACAAGATAAATTATATAAGTTTAAGAATTTAACATGGAGTTCTGGATACAGCTGCATTGTGCTATCACCATCCCTTTATCCAGGCTCACTTACATGCTTAAAATAATGTGAGGACCACCTGTTTCACCTTGCTTCAATTCACTTACAGACTGTTTTCACTACAGATATTGTCATTCCCACTATCAGCTACTAGATGGGGTTCAGAAGCAAATTCCAAATAGAGACACATGTAAACTCTTACAAATTTTTGACTAGAGACCTCAAGCCTATCTCATCATGGAACAGTCATATTTGAACAGGGATGTTGAACAAGTGGCAAGAAATGCTCTGGTCTTCACAAAAGTGAAATGATTATATGAGAGACTTCAGCTTCTCATTTTCCTTTATGACTCCTTTTTCACAGAATTTCTGTGCCTTTGTTTTTCCAACTGGTCTTGTCACCAGTGCTTCCATTTTGACCTGCTGCAACTAGACACCATGTCTTGCTCTTTTATTTGTAGTTTTGGGCATCATTTGTGCCGTCTACCCTAAATTCATGTAAGACTCCTGATACCCTCAATTGTCAGATTTAGTAGAATTTACACTTGCATCTTTTAAAACCAATGTTTTTTAAGATTCACTGTGTTCTTTTGGATTCCCCACTGCCAGGATCTACAAACATGACATGTAAAAGTTTGCTGGTCTGTATAAAATAAGGAGCTTTTGTGGGCTGAGTGTTCAAATAATGTGATGGTGGTGATGAGTAGAAAAGCAGAAATCCAATTTAAAGGAAGAGGTTAATATACTGACCATGGTGTGGTGGGTTCATCTTGGCCCACCACTAACTCAGTCCCCCTCTTCAACAGGACAGGGCAGAAAATACAATGCCAAGGCCTGGCTGTTGAGGAAGTCAGGGAGACTGGCCACTAGTTACCATCACAGCAAAAAGCAGACTTGGCTGAGGAAAATTATTTTAATTTCCTGCCAGTCAAAGTAGATTTGTGTGGTGAGAAGCAACAGCAAATTAAAACAAGATGTTCCACCATCCTATTCCCAGGTTCATCTTCCATCCTTCCTTCCTGACTGATCTACCTCACTCCCCACCCCAAGCAGCACAGCAGGATGGGAGGTTGTAGTCAGTCCATAGCACATCCTCTCTGCTCTTCCTTCCTCCTCACACTTTTTCCTTCCTGCAGCTTGGGTCCTGCCCATGGGCTGCAGTGCAGAATCTTTATTTATTTGTATGTTTCTGTGCTCTCTGCTTTGGGCCTTATATTTTAATTGGTTCATAAAAGAACCTGAAATCCGACAATGGATAAGATATTATATTAGGCCATTTAACAGCTGGAAATTGTACTATTATCAAAACTGTAACAATTTGAACATAGCTGAGTTGCCTCTTTCTACCTGTTTTCAGCTATAAAGGCAATAGTACATTGGAATTTCTGCCTAGGTTAATCTACTTTGTGCTTTGTTACTTTAATTTTCTTGCAGATTAAAATTGGTAATGTAGCCAAACAATTCTCTAAAGGTCCCTCATCACATTTTAAAGTAAAATGAAATATTTACCCCAGAAATATTTTACATGTGAGTATTTAAATATAGTATGTTATTCCTGATGTGGAGTTTTTTTGGTGTGGCTCAGTGTGGAGGGCTGGTTCTCCAAAGAGATGGGACACAACTGTGGTTAGCCACAGCCTAAGTTACCTGGATTACCAGGGTAATAATGGTACAGACTGAACTGACAAATCAGTCTCCACTTTGATCAAGTATGTGGGGCTCAAAAATACATTCCCTATCATTGTTTATCAAATCACTCACATTTCTCCATGAAACTTTAACTTCTTGGCTCCTGGAACAGGACTGATGAAAGCCTAGGTGTGGTCTGATTAATGGTTTTACCATTTGCTTCTGCCCTTCCTGTCTGCATCTGTGGTTGTCTCTTGTGTTATCTATCCTGAGATTATAAAATCTTGGGATTTTGTAATCTCTTTGCCCAGCAGGACTTTTGTTGTCCACCTTCAGCTCCCAAAGCTTCATTCTGCTCCTTTACTCCCTTTGGTCAGAATTTCTTTCATTCTTATCCTTTTAAAAGTTGGCCTTTTGCAGTATTTTATTTTTAAAGTGTACTGCTTAGTAATTTATCTCAAATGAGAGCAAGAAGATTCTGTTATGAGGTAATATACAATGGATTGTGGTATGGACAAAGAATGTCTCTAAGCTGGATACTAGGATAAAGTAGCCTAAGTTGGGTCAGGTTTGTGCATAACATTCCTCCTGGGAAGTTACTTTGGATAAATCAAAAGAAACTAAGGTTTTGATCTGTGAAATTTAAGTGAAAGATGGGAATATAACTGCCTGGTAGACAAAACTAAAGATAAAATCAGTAATAACAGCAGTCTGACAATAAAAGCATTGACAGATTTAAAATAAAATTTAAAAAATCTAATGAAAAGGATTTGTGAGGTGCCAGAATTGAGGTTATCTGTTATAATTCTGCTACAGATCCATTCCAGATTAGCAAAATCTCTCTCATGCCAGATATCTTTAAATAGTCTTGCCTTTACAGGCACATACATTACTGCTCCTCAAAGCATTTATTTATTGATGGGGGCTGTGAAAAGGCAAGAAAATTAGATTATCTGTTATGTTAAACACATTTCCGTATTGCTGATGTTTCATTGTACTGCTTAAGCTCCCAGTAGGAATTTTATTTTGTATTTTTAAGAAACATTGTTTTCAAGCAAAAGTTTGGAGAAGTAGCAGTTTTTTAATTCTGACAGTCTAGACTATTCCGTATGACCTAAGGACAAATGTTTTTTGGAAACCAGACATTATGCTTTGCCTTTCCTATTGTGTTTTTCCTTTTAGCAAAGAAAGGATGCTCAAAGATAGGTTTTGTGGGTTTAGGAAACAGATGATAGCATGCAAAGCCCCATGTTTATATGCACTGTGGTGTTTTGACCTTTATTTAATGGTGTTTTTTGAAAACTTCAGAGCAGGTCGGTGAAGGGTGTGCTCAGTGTTTGAGGTCAGCAAGTGAAAACAGGCAAGGGTCATCTGCCCCTTATTGTGTGTGAGGGTGAGGGTTTGTATCTATTTATTTGAAATTTTCTTAGCTGGTCTTCAAAGGAGCTAAAAGAAAAAAAAAAAAAAAGAGGCAGCATTGTCTAATCAAAGCTGCTCAGTCAACTAATGACGTCAAGCAGTAACCTTAACCTTCACTTTCTCACCGTGTTTCCTTTGGACTATAAGCTATTTAACACAGCTAAAAATTACCTCATCCATCATAGCAATGTAGCCTTTTTCTGTGCTTCACTATGTAGTGGGTTTATCAGCACTGGGCATGGGAATGAGGTAGAGAATAATTTCTTCTTTAATTGACTTTGCAGATTGGAATGCTGGGGGGAGAGGGGCAGCAATGGGCTGTGCAGGAACCAAGCCAGCACCCGAACTTGTCGGCTCCCTGTGAACAAGAGTGCTTTAATCACTGCACAGACCGGCTGCAGGGTGTGGAATAAATGCATTCAGTGCTGCAGTTGTGTCTAACATGAATTTTGAGCTACAGCAGTAATTTAGAATAGAAACACAACCTGTGTGTGGTCACACTCCGTGCTGACTTGGCTGCTGTGTCTGAGAAAGAGGATTGCACTGAGTGATGAGAGCAGGTGTCAGGTGTTATCATGGGGAAATAAAAGCACTTATTACCTTGTGGTGTGATTTGTTCATATGACCTTGCTGTTGGGAAGAATAATTTTGCTTTCTGGTATAATTTAAACAGCATGTCACTTCTTCCTGTTGTTTCCAGTGAAAGTAATGAGGCTACGTAGGATACTGAGGTGACCTGATGTGCACAGAGATAATTAGAGCAGGTGTCATTCTCAATTCAATTCTCAATATTGTAGAGAATAATGTGGTATTGCTTTTGTGAAAGGGAAGCTGGTAATTGTCAAATACTTAAAAATTAACAGTTAAATGGCAGTTGGCAAATCCTTGCAGTAACAACATCTTTTTTTTGCTGTTTTTCTTGTTGCTTATGCCAGTCTAGAATATGAGAATCACAGATTTGTTTTTTCCTCAGAATATGGTGGCATGGGTTTGGATTTCTCCTATAATATTGCAGTGGCAGAAGAGCTGGGAAATATCCGTTGTGGAGGTATTCCCATGGCCATTGGAGTGCAAGCGGGCATGGCTACCCCTGCCCTTACAAGGTAATTTTCAGAAACTTTGGTTTAGCCTAAAACTCAATTGTCATGAGTAGAAAAAAAAAAACCAATACTGTGTAGATTTAATGCCTAGTTGCTACTCAGTAATGCCTGAGGAAAGAACCTACTCTCTACTTCTCTCAGTTTGCTTTAGGGGTGAAAATACTTTTTCTTTTTTTTTTTTTTGATGCCAGAGTTATATTGATCATATGTTAAAACATAAACCTTGTTGAGTAGTAGATGATATGTTTAAAAACATGAAATATTGGTACCACAATAAATGAAAAAATTTTAATTCCAGAATCCAGTTTGTTCATGTTTGTCTTTTTTCTTATATCCCAGTGCAGTAATACTAAGGATGCATTTAGTTGTAAGGATTAGGACCAGTCTAATTCTGCTTTATAATTTACTTGCTCTTTTTCCAGCTTTGCAAGGTGTCAGTCCTAAAGTTGTAGCACATATATCATGCTTCCTAAATATGCCCATTCTAGGCTATTAATAGTTTTTCTTTTTCTCATCATCTATGTCAGTATTCCCATTTTAATCACTTACTATCATTTAGGCTTCTACATTTTCTTAATCTGATTTGTTGTGGTTTTTTCCTCCCCCAATAAAAGTTACCAACTTCTTCATGAAGAAGTTTTGCAGATATTCTGTGTTAGAACAGAAATTCTTAAAACTAGAGTGGGGCAACTGGCTGATCCAGCAGTTTGTCCCTGGAATATGGATACACCTAAAATTCTGGAAGATGAGGGTAGAATTAAATTCTAATAATTATGTTGAAATTGGAAATTTCTCTGCACTAAACAGATATACGAGGGAAGTTGTGCTCAGATGAATATTTTAGGGATTTTTTGATAATTTTTAGGGGGTTGTTGACTTTTTTTTCCCATTCTGAATGGAAATATCTGTAAATCTACTGAAGAATCTGGGATATAAGCTCTATTCCCTTGACATTTGCTTATCCTGCTGTATGTGTGACTTTGGAGGTCTCATCTACAACAGATTTTTCATAAAGTTTTCTTCTCCTTTGTGTAATGCAACAAAAGCTTGCTAAATGCATGAAGTTCAGTATGTCTCTTGCAACAGTGGCTTAGCTATAGTCCAACTGAGTATAAGAACAGTATTTTAAAATACTTCAGACAGTAATACCTTGACCCCATGACAGCCTTTTATTCAGGGGTTTAAAGGAAATCTATGGGTAAAAGAAAATGAGACTTTGTTCCATTGCAGTTTTTTCGCCTTCTGTTACTCTGTTCTGCTGTAGTAAAACAGTGAAATTATGCATATTTGTGCTAGTGAAATCCTAAAGTGGAAGTTCTTGGAAAATAACAGTGAAATTGTTGTTAACTTGACGAAATCTTTAATTGAGTTTGTATCTGCATTATTGAATTTTTCCCCCACTGCTGAGCCAATTCCACTGGCTATTTATACAGTACAACGCCCCCCACACACATGTAAAAGTGAAACTTGATAATGAAAAGAGAAAGCTGGTTGCTACAGGAAATTTTGCCTGCATGCCTCTTTACCTCATGCTGTGTAGTGGGAAGACCAACTGCTTGTCCTGGGCCATGGATTCAAATGGCACCCATGTCCTGGGTGGTTTCTTTAAAAGTATCTGTATACTGTGGGGATCCTAAACATGTTCGTAGAGATACGTCAGATTTTGCATCTTGGCTGTGCGTTGTTGCACAAATCAAACAATGATGTGGGAATCAACCACCAACCCCTAAAAAAGCCTCTTTGTTGTCTTTCATAACCTTGGGCTTTGTTCAGCATTCATCCAGCACATATTGAGTATACCTACAAACTAATTCCATGAATGTGATTCCTGTAATTCCCAGAATCCCCTAAGTGAAGCAGGGGATTCTGGGAATTACAGGAATTTCTAAATCTTTCTGCAGGATATAGATATGTAATATATAATACAGGAATCTTTCTAAATTTAAGAACTAAATAGAAAACGCTTTGTCCGCAGTGATCTGACCTTTGATGGTTTGGAACATCACTTTCTGCCAAGTCTTTCAAATGCATCCAGATATAATACTGCCCTTCTTGCCCACAAATAGAGTGGAGAAAGCAGCTCCTAGCTGAGGCAGTGAATGATAGGCATTTCCCTGTTTATGGACATGCCTGTAGGGTGTCACATCTCTAGTCATACCAAATCAGTGTAGAGCTGCTTATCTCAGCAGTAGGCAGTGAACTTTACTTTTTTTCCCCCGTGTTGTTTGTAGGCAAATAGTAAGCAAATTTAAGATGGGTAGAATTTTGCCAAAGTGGCATATTTTTAACACAAGAGCTAGCAGCTGAGCAAGAAGCTAGCTGTCTCCTGCAAGGCAGAGAGACCCACCATCTTCTGAATATAGTGTTGCCCAACTTTTTTTTTTTTTTTTTTGATTGCAAAATAACATCTTCTATAACCACATTTTTGGAAGGAACTCAACTGTTTTCTGGAACTCAAAACAAAGAAAGACATCAAACCAAAAATATTATTCTAAGCAAAGTCTTGCTGTGAAAATCCTCTGTTGAAATGCTAAAGGTTAGCGAAGTTTCAAGCATTAGAAAGCATTGCCAAAAATCACCACTATCTGCTCTCATAATCTGATTTTCCATGTTGATGGTTGGACTGTTTGGGTTTTTTTTTTTTTTGACTGATGAATATGCAGCTATGGGTAAATCTAAATCTAAATCTAAATCTAAATCATATTTGATCAAGCTCCATGGAAAATTAAAAATCAAAGTTTTCTGCCTAACAGACATGGGTACTTTATTCCAGTATGCTAGAGGAAGGAGTAGGCACTCCAAACTTACTTCTTGTATTTATTTAGGGTTCCCCTGTGATTTTCAGCAGGGACAGGACTAGGAATTAAGCTCCTTGTGCGCACCAAATGAAAGTGTCTGCCAGATCCCAGTCTGTTCCCTGGCTGTCCCACATCCTTTGTGCCAGGGTTGGTTGGAGGGGATGACTTAGTCTTAGTTTGAATGGCACCATTCCTTTGGAAATACTGGGACAATGTTTTAGAAGGAGGCCCCAGGAGCCTAAGGAGATGAGTGGTGATGATGTGCTGAGAAGTCTCACAACAAAGAGGAGGCTGAGGAGGAACTTGAATTTTTGGATTCCTGGACACATAAGACATTTCATGACCCAAGGAATTTTTCAGTCACACAAGAAAGGTCTGAGAACTAGACCATGAACTCACCATTCACACTGCAAGAAGAAATCAGTGAATCTTAATTAGGACAAAATCAAGCATGAAATGAGATGTAGCATATCTTGGATGGATACAGTCTTCTAAACAGCAGGAAAACAGTGTGTGCCTCTTAACTGAATTTAAATACAGCCAAGTGAAATTTTTGTGTTAAAATACCATCCAGTGTTTGCTGTTTCCCTTTTTATTTTTGTGGAGATAAAAGAATAGCTGGAAGAAGCATTAATGGATTTTACTGAGTGATTTAAATGTAGATGTGAAGTACAAATAATTGAAATACAGGTCTTTGCAGATGGTGGCCATCACATGTCAAAAGTTTTCAGTCACCACTAAAACCTGGCAAAGAGATGGTGCAAGAAAACAGACCGGGTCCTCCATCCTGGTGGTTGCAGAGTAGTGCAGGAGCATGAGAGGAATCCTCAGGGGTTATGTTTATTTAGATCTGGAACTTTTACAGCAACAGTCATGTAAATTTTGGCCATCTAGACCACAAGTTTCTGTGGGAATAAGATGCCTGAATACTTTTTAAAACTTCTTTGAAATGATTGTGACTGCACTTGTGGTGAAGACTCTGAATCACAGCTCTGGATGGTATTTATTCTATCTTTTGGCTCTAGGACAGCTTTTACCCAGTCATAGGAAAATTTGTGGGTAGAACAAAATTTGTAACTAACTTCTAATAAAATTTACCTTCATAGGGTTTTAATATCGTATCTTTTTTTTGTTATATTATTGCAGGTTTGGTTCTGATGAGTTGAAAAAACAATTCCTTGTACCAACTATAGCTGGTGATTTTGTGGCTTGCTTGGGAATCAGTGAAACTGGAGCTGGGTCAGATGTCGCAAGTAAGTTAACCTAGCAAACAGTCAGTTTTAGACAGCCTGATGTTTTAATGGAAATAATCTGTTTTTCCTGACCCTTCACTTTGCCCCATCCTTTGTATGAAACAAAAGGAAGGAAAGTCTGGTGTGGTGAGTGCAAAAAGTAACATTCCAGGAATACAACACATCCTTCTCATGCACCCTGTAGACTGAGCACAACAGATTTCGTGGTGGCCCCAGTTTTCTTCTAGTGCTGTCCTGCCCTGTCCAGGCGCACAGCTGGCAGGAGCACTCCAGCACCTCATCATCGGCACAGCCACATTCAGTCATGAAACTCTGGATGTACTGACAGGAACAGAACCTGTTCAGCTGGACTAGAACTGGGGCTGCCTTGACAAAGACCTCTCCACTGAATGGGGGAAAACTGCAGAGCCTCTCTGATCTGAAAATGGTGGCATCACTTTCAGAATGATTTCCCCTTGTTCATTCTTACTTCACCTTGGCCCCCATTCTATCATTCCTGTGAAGAAAAATATCTCTCAATTGGTGATTGCTTTATTTAGAGCTAATGAAGAATTTGCAATGTCAAATCTTTTATCTTTATGATTTAGTTACTTTACATGCACCTGGGGTTTTTTTTGTTTAGTGCAGGAATATGTTTAGAAATCAGAACAAATGAAACTATTATTCTGAGGCGTCTGAGGCAGTAAAAAAATTGAAAAATTAAATCAAAACAGATACAGTAGAAAAAGAAAATATGTCTCCTCTGATGATGAACCATGGACTTCACGGAAAAGGGAATGATAAGTGACCACTTTTAGAGGTTTGCTTGCTGGACAGAGCCTGGCCAAGTTGACCATATTGTGTTCTTACAAGCTTGCCAATGCATGACAGACATTTTTTATCCGAGGAATCCTATATCCATCTCCGTGAGCAAACTCCTGTTGTTTTTTCAAGGCAAACAGATAAACATCCATCCTTGCTCAAGCAAGGTTGCAGCAGGTAGATTTAAAGAATGTTAATGTGGATAATAAAATAATGGCACTAAATCTTCCTGCATATTTTATTGCTGTTTTCCTTTCTGAGTTAATTGAATTTATTCATAAGAAGAATTCCATAATTTTAGTAGACATGTTTATTAAATATTACTTATTAATAATACTTAATAATTATAAACAATAAACTTAAAATATTAAATTTCATTATTATTTAAACTGCATTATTGCTTATTATAATTTAAATATTATTAGGATTTAAATAATAAATCTTATAATAGCACCTAATAATTTGTATATTAAAGTAATTATAAATTTGAATTTTGCTAATATAAGAAATATAACATCATTTATTTTAATAAACGCCTCTCTAGTTTAATGAGATTATCATCAGAAAATTCTAAATAGGAATTTAATTTTTTTGATGCAGTGTTCCAGATAATAAATAACATAAATATTCCTTGAACAGCATCTTGTTTATCATCTAGTTAAAGTGGTATGATACACTTAGATGAATGCAGTTAAAAACCAATTTTGAATCAAAGAGGATTATCTACTGAATCTATGCTGCAGCTTGGAGACACACTGCAGGATGAAATGAAAATACTTTTTCCCCTGTCCTGGAAGATTTGATCCCTGATATAAATGCCAAATCCAGTTTACAATGCTTCTGAAGGACAATTAAAGGGACAATTTAGGTATGAGCAACAATAGTTTGCATTCTGAGTTGCACCATTCTGCGCCATGTCCAGATGGCCCAGCTGTAAAGCAGAGAAACTGCACTTGGTGCTTCCTTTTGTTGCTCATGCTATTGGGATGTTTGTGTCCCTAAGAGAAGTGAAGGGACATGGCAGCTGTTCACATGGGAAAGTCAGGGATGTGCTTCTGCCATGTGAGTCAGTGTATTTTAACCTGAAGAATGACACAGAGTAAAGTATCTCTAACATTTTTTCCTGCAGTTCCAAAATTACTGAAGGTGATATGAACACAGAAAACAAAAACAATGTTTACATGAGAACTGAAATGTGCCTCAAACTAACTTATTCAGAATTCAATAGAACAAAAAGGACTGTGTATATTAGTCTAATACAAAATTCATGTCAATTTGAAGGAACACTTGTCTGCTTTCAAGTGTAGTAATTTTATATTGTCCATAGTAGTGACCATGTGCACCAAAACTAGCACAGAGCTGGCTTGAGAAGAAAAACAGAACAGTACAGATGGTACAAAAAGTGTCTTTAATTTCAGGATTCTGGTACTACAAAAACATAAACATTTGTGTCAGTTTGAGTGATATTGTCTCATTCTATCTCACCCCGATTCCACAATTTATAGAATGTAATCTGTGGGTATATATAAAACCACATCATGGAAAACACTTTTCTCACACACATCCTCTATCTTCAGGTTATGTTCAGGTATCTGCAGCTAGCAACACTGTTCATGTCTACCTCTTCTACATAAATATCCTGCTCCATTTTCTCTCAGTGGAATCCAGCCTTTCTGCTTTTCTGGATTGAGTTTGTCTTTTCTGAGCATAAAACCCCAGAATTCTGCATGGTGTCTGTAATGGCACAAATACATTTCCAACCCTGGCAGAAGTATTACTCTCCAATACATGATGTTACACAACAGCTTGCAGGCTTGTGAATCCTGTGATTAACTGTGGATCATCCTCATTACCAGTTTGCTATTGAAACACTGCAGGATTTAGCAATCACTTCTACTACTTCGTGTCTGAATACTTGTACTTACCATCTTGAATTTGAAAACTCAAGATCATTCCTTTCTTTCTGGGCCATACTTCAGTTGTCTGTGTTGGTGATGTCTCCCAAGTTTGTGTCACAGACAAATTTAATTAGTGTATTCCTGTCCTTTTAAAGATCATTAATGCAAATATTCAGTAGGTTTTGTCCAGAGGCTGATATACAGGGAGGGACTTAACTAGTACTCTCCCTGCACATCAGAACTTCTTCTTTTAATGTAACCTGGTGCAATTTCTGCTTTGCCAAGTTCCTTATGCACATTTCCACTTTTGTCCTAATTCTTATATTTTCAAATTTTAACTCATAGTTACCTAGTAGTGTCAATTTCACTTACTTGGGTCCAATTGGATTTTTCTCTAGATAATCCTATTTAGTAATAAAACAGGTTGGGTTTAAATAAGATACCATGGGTAAATTGAATTCTCTTTTATTTCCAAATGTATTTTGATGCTGTGCAGATTGCCAAAACCAACAACCTCTGTTTTCATTAATTTCCGTCTTTCTTGTAGGTGTTTTGCTTTGTCAACCATATTTGAATCTGTCTCCTGTGAAATATTTCTTTTTTTTAAGTATCCTCTATGTGGCCTCATTTTTTTCCCCCATTCTCTTGTCATTTCTATGGCTGAAACAGTTTTGTTTGCCACCACAGTCTTCTTTGATTTTGTTGGTTTTCATCTGCAAGATTTAACCTAGTTCAACCTATTTTAATACTTGTATTCCAAACTCCAAATTGTAGCTTACTTTCATCATTAATCTTGTTCATTTCCTGCAAGTCATTTCCTGGTTTTTGACGTGATTATTCATTCAGTTAGATTTGAAGGTATTTCTTTGAAGTTTTTCCTATGCTGATGAAAATTTAAGATATGTGTTCTTCATATTTTACTTTAAGGATGTGTGTTGCTTATCTTTGACTGTAATATTGACCTTAAAAGTTGAAGCCAACCTTACCTTTAGTGAGATCTATTTGAGTGCATGGCTGGACTCGAGTGCAGTAGAGAAGAAAATTGAGGCTTGAGTTAGTGTGATTTGAACAGTGATGTGACCAGCCCTCATTGCTTATAGGGCACCAGCTGTATCATTCACCTCTGGTGATGCCTTGTGCTCTTTCCTAGAAGGGCTCCTCAGAGAATGCTGTGCAAGAGGTTGTGAGAGTCAGTGGTGTGTGCCTGCAAAAATGAGTTATGGAGCACCCACTGAAGTAGCCTTTTCCCAGAGATATGCTCTGTCAGGAAAAAGAATTAGTCAAATATTCCAAATTACCTTCATAGCCATATTCCTGAGTCCACTTGACCATAGTAAATTGTTAAGTAGGTTTCCAAAGCCTGCTGTATTTTAAACATAAAACTTATGTATTGATCTGATCATCTTTCTTAATCATCTCTAATTAAAGAGTATCAATTCTTCACAAGATCATTTGAAATAGTTGTTTCTCAAGTGTTTGAAGCAAACTGTGAATAATTGAATCTGGAGTACTTGAACTTTCTCATTAGTAAGGCATTTGTTCTTTAATCTGTGTTTGGGTGGTTAGGCCCCTGTGACGCCATGCCTGCAAGAACTATTTACATTTGTGGTAACATCACAGTGCTCATTGTTCCTTTGCAGGCCTTCTATGGGACTTCTATCTAATCTCTTCAGTAGCTGTTCCACAACAAAGGGATGCATGATGTAAATCACTGTGTATGCTCCCATCCTTGTCACACCATTTCAGTACAGTCATATTCCTTATTCCAGCTCTTGTGTGTCCTTCCATTATTATTTAGTCTCCATGTATGTGAGTGTCCAATGTCTGTGTCCATGTATTATGAGTGCCAGTACTTTAGATTACTTAAGCTTCTTGGCATTCATTATTATACAAATTTCATATCGAGCCCCTTGGACAGGTTTGCTACAGTCTTTTTTATTGGGCGAATTCCTCTGTGTCTGCTGGTTTTATCCACATGATTACCATCTCTCTCCTTTGCTTACGTTCCTTTAGCCATAGCTAAATCCCATACTTCCTTATTTTATACCTTATTTAATTTTCTCCCATCATTTTTCTCCTGTGCCTTCTTTAACAAGAAAAAATTTCAGCTGTGCTGACCTCAGTCCCAGTTTACCTCCTAAATGAAGATCAGATACTTGGATTTGCTTTTGGTTTATGTTTAGAGCCCCAGGGAAGAATGTGCAGAATGTCTATGCATTAACAGGTACCAAGGCTTGGGTTTGTTTAAGTCATGACTCTGGAATTAATGGACTCCTCAGGACTAAGGCACACAGTAAGAGAAACTGTAACAGATCACCTCACAGTGAAATGCTTCTCTCCCAAGTTTTTGACCACCACATTTACTTAGGAAGTTTTCTGCTCTCATCCACTGGAATGAAGACTCCACCTAAAGGAAGGTGGGAGAAGTGGTCCTGCTTCCCTGGCTTGCCTTCCAAGAGTTTTCCAGACTAGTTTGCCTTATGGCCTGAAAGGGTTATGGGACAGGGGAGTATGAGGGAGAACCAAATAGTCTTCTGTCTTGAGAGCAAGGGAACGACCCTGCCAGTCATAACTGGATCGATATACCCCTCCTTCACAAGAATAACCTTTCATTTCCTGTGTTTTGAAATAGATATCAAGACAACGGCCGTGAGAAAGGGCAATGAGTATGTCATAAATGGTGGTAAGATGTGGATTACATCTGGGAGCCAGGCAGACTGGATGTGCCTCCTGGCAAACACCAGCGAAGGACCTCCCCATCAAAATAAATCTCTCATATGTCTGCCAATGAATCTACCTGGTAATAACACAGAACTCTGTCTTCTCATTTGATTTTATTGGTGTTCTTTGTATGCCTAATACAAGAAGGAAAGGTGTTTAACCAAAAATACATCTAGAGAAGTTGTTCAGATACATTTTCATGGCAATGATTCATATCCATATGAAAATAAAAGGATTAAGAGTTTAGAGATTTCAAACAGGGGAAATACCTCTCAGGCCTGGTGGGCTTGCTGAAGAGAATTGCAGGCATATTTAGAGTGTTTCATGGCTATGCTGTGCAAAGGGATCCCTTCACCAGGGCACTATTACCGGTTAAATTAAAAAAATAGTCCAAGAGGTAAATGTGGGCTGGAGTGAAAGATTCAAATATCCTGGAAGTAGGGATTTGCTTTTGAATAAGACTAGCAATTCAGATGAAGATATGGAAGAAATACTTCCTGAGCTAAGACTACCAGTTTCAGTGGTACATCCACACAGTGTCTGTTCCTGAGTAACCTGCAGACCTCACAGAATGCTTGAGTGCTGGATGCATAGAGAACATGTCCAGAGAGGATGCAGTTAAGATTGTGCTGGTGGGGATCTTTTGCAGTTTTGATGCCTGTTCAAAAATTTTTAAACCTTTTCAGTTTTAACTCATTTTAATATTAAAAAATATGGAACATATAAATTTATGCTCTATACAATATATAGCATATTTAATACTTAATTTTTAAAGTTAATGTTTATTTTTTGCAAACAAACAGTTTAATACAATTTAATAGTTATTAAATCTAGAATAATATCTATTAATGTATTTATATATAAGATATTTATACTCAGGGCTCTCTTTTGTCCATTCAATTCAGAGTATTTTACACACAAAGTATGTGCCATTATTGGCGTTTCACATGTAGGAACACCACAACAGTGAAGGGAATGAATCTATGTTCACATAATGGATTAGACCGAGAACAAAACCCAGGTCCTCAGTGTTGCAAAAGAGGATGATGAGAGCTTCTTAAAGGAATGTCTTTTAAATGAATTTAAGCATGGAGTAAGTCAAGCAAGTGAATTGCCTTGGGAATCAAGCAGGTTCTGAGTGAACTGTGAGCTTCTACTACTTCTGCTCAAGCAAGACAGGCTTTGAATGGGTGATCATGCAAGACAGACCTGAGCTGCTCCACTACTTGTGAACTTCATCCTTATTGAGAAGTGATGAGCAAACATGTAACTTGAATTGCTCTGAATTTCCAGGTAAATTCACTATTCAGCCATCTGCTGATAAAAGAATGAAGTCCTTGTGATTTTTCATGGACAGGTCAGAATGCAAATGAAGTACTCTTCTCTGAGATCAGTCTTCCTAAAACAACAAAGCAGCTGACCCACAGATGGTGGCAGATAAAATACACAGAAATTTACTTAAGGTTTTCAGCTACTTGGCTTATTCCAAAAAGACACAAGTTGTCATAGCTCTAGGAGTGGGGAGATGTTAGATCTCACAGCCTACATGCAGACCTTCTTTACCTGCATTAAATAGATTTAGAGTGGAAAATTTGTCTGACACCTTATTCTGATATGCAGAAGTGTAGAAGTCTTCCTAGGAACAAAATTCGTGCCCCTCAAAACGCATGTGTTCTAATTCTTCTGTGATGAACATATATTTATCTCCAAAGGGGTCACAGTACCAAGACTGGTGACCTTTTGAAATGAAGTATTAAGGCTGTTGATTGTGCTCTGTGGGTGAGTCATATCAGAAGTGAGATTTTCAGGAAACTCCATCTGGTTTGATACATCCTAAGGATGTCTGTCTGCTAAAGATTGTGCTCTGTGGAGGGCAGCAGAGCAAGGCTGTACGGGAAGTGTCTGGAGGACATCACGGAATGATGCACTCTCAAACGTCCGGGGATGTATGTGTGTCAAAGCTCAAAAACAGCTGCAATGGAGAGCAAATGTGCTGTGTCTGACTCACCTCTGCAGGCACCAGCCTATATGGCTGGGGAAGAAAGAATCTGCAGTGTATTTTTGCTAAAAATCTAAGTTGTTTTGTATTTATATTGTGTGGGGTGGGGAAAAAAAAGAGAGAGAGAAAAAAATCCAAGTTTGAAAATGAATTACTAATTTCAACAATTGATAGTTTATTGGATAGACAAAGTAGGATTTGCTTCTACTAATTTTAGGTATATATACTCTCTAATCTAGGCTGAAGCAAATCATGGTCTAGATTTGACAGACATTGCTGAATACATTTCTCATAAAGGAAGTTTGGATAACAGCACCATGGATCCACAATAAATATCCAGATTAGGTGAATACTCCTCATACAATAACAATGTCTTAAAAAAGCAGCTGAGTTTTTCATATAATGAAAGAGAATCTAGCACATTGCAAAATGTCTGTGTGTAAAGTATATAGACAAATGGCTTGCAGCCCTGATATGGTAACTGTTTTGTCCTCTGGTTTGTCCTCTGAGTCCTCAGATAGCTCTAGGGGAGATTGCAAGGAGGAGTTAATAAGGAGAAGAGCAACCATGAAAAGAGAAAGGGTGTGTTTCTTGGATTGCAATTTAAAATGTGTCTGTTTCCATTTGTAATGGCACTAAATGGTGTCAGGAGAGAGCAACTGCCTTTTTCTTAAGATAGAATACAGGAAATAAAAGAGATTGTCAGAAGGCTGGAGGAATGGGAGAAAATGAAAAATCAAAGATGCTTGGGAAGAGCTGCCCAGGCAGAGAAATAGCAATCCATCTCAATGATACTGGTGCAAGTAGCTCAAATGGCTCTGTTACAGTGATTCTAGTAAGTCATGTGCTTGGCCTTGTTAAGTTCAGATTTGTGAGTTATTGCGTGTAATTTATTTAAAACAGATGAACTCCAGGACTTATCTGGGCCAGTAATTTTTACTGCTGCTGGTAATTTCTCATTTGTAGTACCCCTTAGGAAGAGAAGGAAGATAATTACATGAAGGGAGGTTTTGATGCCCCCATAGTGGCCAAAGAGATGATTATGAATGATTGTCTTCCACGGTGTAAAGCATAGCCTCAGAAGGGGCATCCCATGAGACTGATGCAGCTTGGTCTCCTTGTGGGTGAGAACCATGAATTACGAGCAAGTGAAACTGGTCGGGCAGGACAAAGGGGGATGCTGCTGGACCCAGGAAAATTGAACCACAACCCAGTCTGGAAGAATTACAGATAGAAATCATCAGCACATTTAGCTCACTAACCAAGCTTGTAAGAGCTTTCTTCAGTGGTATTTGCTGTATGTGGATCTGGGAAGTAAACAACGGGATTAATTTACCAATGTAATAGTGAACTGGCAGCAGTTTTGCTTTCTTGAGGAGAGACCTTTTAAACCACCCACTAACAAGAGCAGTAAGTGCGTCTTCATGTGGCTGAGGAGCAGTGATTACATAAAGCCAGTTGGCTTTAGACCATACATGATCTCTGCAATTCTCACAGAAACCAAATAACAGTATTCCAATGGGAAACAATGCTCCTGATTTCATCTGGGCTTCTAAATTGCTCAGTGTGTGGTTATTTAGCTATGTTTTTAATATGGAAACAAACCACAAATGATTTTTTGGCTGACTGAGTACAAATTACTGGATAATTTTCAGTTCAAAAGTCAAGAATTCTTATACGGCTGTTCTGATTTTACTCTTGCATTGATCATATATCAAAGCAAGTCTTCCTAATACATAATCTGTTTACAGTTTGGTTGGTGGAGAAAAAATCTTGAGTGGAACTTGTGGAAGTCTATGTTCACATAGTTCTCAGAGAAGTCTTGGCATTTGTAAATAATGTCAGTATTTCATCTCTGTGAAGAGATGAAAATTTCCATAACCTTATTTAGTGCAGCCAGACAGAGTAAATTTGAAGGAAATGACTGCCAACTCCTTCTGCCTACAAAACCAAAGTAATTTTCATACGTCTGAAGACCTCCTTTGAGTAAAGGATTATATGTCTGTATTAGTTCGGAAAGAGATATTTTCTGAAAGTTGTGAAGAATAGCAAGATATGAACAAGGACAGAAGAAAAAGAACAGTCTGTGTGGTGACCAACCAGGTTCTACTGAGCCATGCCAGAGAGCAGTAGAGGACTGAAAACGAATAAAGAGGAAAATAACAACAGAATACCTTCTCATCACAAAGCTGGTTGGAATAACATGGACATGAGTAGTAAAAAGCTTTGGTTATCTGACAAAGATACATATGCTGAGTTGGAGGACTGTTTTGCTACACATACAGACTTGTCAGATGTAATTAACGTATTATGCACAAATCCTTATGCCTGGTTGTTGTCCTCCTTTTGCTTTTGAAACATTCTTGACTTTCACCCAGAATATTTGAATTAGCTCCAGATCAACAGGGAGACAAAAGCTGAAGACAGGAGAAATGCCAGGGGAAAACAGTGGGTGCCTGTTAAACTCTCGTGGCACAGGGGTGAGCCATGTTTGCATCTGAACAACAGCAGGGAAGAGCTTGTAGCTGTGAAAAAACAAACAGTGGGAAGGAGTCCTGCCCCGGGTGATGAGGTACCTGAACCCTCATGTGGCCAGACCTGAATGAACCAGGTTCATCTTCAACAGACCAATGCACGTGGGGTCAGAGTCAGTGCTGTGTAGAGAGTCCGTGGGGACCCAAACTCTCCTCACAAACATACACACATGAAAACTGAGAGTGATCACTCTACCAGAAAAAATCAGCATAGGCTAGGAAAGGGAGGATAAATGAAGAAGAGAGGGAAGGAACAGGATTTCCAGGAGGAGAAATACTCTTAGCTGCAGCTTAAAATGTAGCTGTTTTTGTCCTTACTGAATATTTGTGTACTGTTTCATAGCAGTGCAGGCGCTCAGCAAATATTGCCAAATTGAATTTCAGCATTTTATTGTAATGCTAGATAAAATTCAAACACAAACAAATAAATATTGCATTATTTGAAGACCTGTGTGGAGTAAGATTATTATGACTAATAAATATTTATTATTTTGGGAATGTAATGAAAAGTGGGACTTTTACATTTAAAGTTTCTGATTTGCTGGTTTAATAAAGTGGGTAAACCTTTTAAAATAGGATCTGGGCCATTTCATTCCAGAATACTGTTATGTTTTTCCTGAAGGTAGATTGCACTGTTGTCTTGGAACATACATTCACATCTGCAGACTTTTCCTTCTGAAAACATTGTATTTGTTCATAGTGCTTATGTTTTTTGTGATCTTTCTCATGCACCTTTCTCTTCAGGCATTCATGTTGCTAAAAAGATAGACAAACTGGGTATGAGGTCATCGGACACAGCTCAGATCTTTTTTGAAGATGTAAGGGTCCCCTGCAAGAACCTCATCGGTGAGGAAGGAAACGGTTTTACATACCAGATGTTGCAATTCCAAGAAGAGCGGCTGTGGGGAGTAGCCAGTGGTAAGTCATCATTTGTGCTTCTGCAGGGACACAGGGATCACTCTTTGCATGACTAACAGCACTTTTCTTTTCTTGTAAGTTGCAATGATCTTTCAGGATCTGTTTTCGAAATCCGTCATAGCCTGGATACAGACGACATTCCCTTTCTGTAGAAAAATTCCTTTTTCGCTAAAAAAACCTTAAGCAGAATATATTTTGTGAGCCATTGCAGATGCTCTTTTTTGCCTTGTTTATTTTTCTTGTTGTTACTCTGGAAAGAAATTGTGGCATCATGTTATGTCTATTACAAATATAGTGCAAAGGCTATCAAAATATCAGCATGAAATAGAAAGATGGTGACTTTTCCTGAAGTACAGTGCATTATGATGCTGATCATGGATTTTAGAAAGGTAACTTATGGCTGTGTAAAGTTAAGTGGCTCTTGCAGGGTGTCAGAGCTTTGTTTTGCAAATCTGCTTTACCTCTGTACACTTTGGACATAAGTGGTACATTCCTTTCCCTGAAGTCATATTGTCACAGAGTTTATGTTACTCAGAACTCAGGCTGTACTCAAATCTATGTATTTGGGTTATATGGATTCTGGATATTCCAGGAAACCAGATCCAAGTCTGGATTGTCTACTTTCAGCCTGCAAACTTTTTCCCTACTCCTCAGTGTTTGGTTCTTTAAGTTAAATAGAATGTGGTTCACAGTAAGAAGATTGGTCCTCTTTAGATTCCAAGGTTGTCTAAATAATGTCACTGTATTCATGCTGCTGTGCATGTCCCAGTCTGTGTGTGGCTGGGGAATTAAGCATTCTAAGTGGTGTTTTGATTAAGTGAACAAATAAAATCACTCACTGTTTTGGGTTCATCACAGACCAAATATTTTGGACTTCAAATGCCTTTAAAAAAAACTTGTTTATTGAACTAAAGTTCTTAGTTCAGCCTGAGATAAATAGTACATGTGAGAGTAGTTTTAGCAAAGGACAGGAGGTTACACTTGCCAAGGGCGTAACTGCAGACTCAGGCAAGCAGGAGTTGTGATCCTACCACTGCTTCTTCTTTAATTGAGGTGTATACAGACTGCAAGGATGTGCATTGTGCATTTCTATGCTCAGTTTGAAGTCAAAATTAAACAAACCATGAGAAGCTCTGGGCTGCAGTGAGACTCCCCAGGCAGCATTAGTCATGCCCCAGGCAAAAGTGACGCGCACTGACAGCATCACTGCACAAAGCCTGGCAGGTTAGATCATTCCTGCTAAAACCACAGGCTGCTTGGTACTGTCCAGTCTTGCACAACTGCCTGGCTGTCACTGTGCTCTGCCAGGAACTGGAACACCAGGTTTCAATTCCTTTTTTTGTCCACAACAATGCAGCAGGAGCAGGTGAACCCTTGCCCTGGATGAGCAGCCTTGGAAGGGCCTCTCTCCTTGCCTGCTGTGGCCAGGCAGGGGTGAGCAGGGAGGAAGAGTCTGGGAGCTCACCAAGGAGAGGGAGCTGCTTTCTGCAGTGGCTACTGTGTGAACCTTGCTGGACCCCTTGAGTTTGCTTTTTTTCAACTACCTGATATAAAATACATAAAAGCACTGGCAGCAGGGACAAGACCCATGGTTTGGGCCAAGCTGCAAACTTCAGAGATCACCAATTGTGGTAAACAAGAAAAAGAGTAACCAGTGTTCAGAAGGGAGCCCAGTACTCAATGGGTGCAGTTGGTTGTATCACAGCATCTAGAGGTCCTGAAAATAGTTTCACATACGTTCAACCATGACTGCTCAGGTGAAGGCTCAGATGTGTGAAACCATTTGAGTGCGTTTAAGTGCCTTAGGTCTGCATGTTTAATCCTGGTCTTCACTTCTGCCCCTCAGTAGGATATTTCTGTTCCTTCCCAGTTCATGACTATGACATTGAAAATCATCAGTCTGCTTTTAAACACTTTAGGGACCAGTCCTGGGATCCTCACTTTCACTGCTTCCTTTAACTTGGAAAAAAAAGGCAGTTGACTAGTCTGTTTTTCCTTTCTGGGAGTTATTTTGTTGTGTTTGGGGTTCTTTGTTCTGTTTCTCTTTGTTTGGTGGGGGGTTTATGTATTTTTAGTTTCAAGTATCACATGCTCTAGACTTCTTTTTTGTTTATTAATTATCTTCTTGGTGGCCAGTATCTTTCTTTACTTGTTTTTTTTTTTTTTTCTTTTAAAATCTACTTTCAGTCAAACAGGTTTAAAATACAAATGGAAAACTAGCTTCCTGGAATTGCAAAATTTGCTCCCAGGTGTGGTCTCTTCTTCTGAGTGACACATCATCAAAGGCATTGGCCAAAGTCACTGTGGTTCTTGCTTCATTGAAAGAAAAAAGGTGCCACGAGTCTCCTGTGTTGTGACACTTGGTAAACACTGTCCGTTTGAGGGCCTGTTGCACTGATCACAGGAAAAAAATGTTGCTATGGCAAAAAAAGCAAACAGTTGTCCTGTGAATTGCTTAACTCAAAGAGGGAGTTCAGCATACATATGAGAGCAGAATGGCACTTTTCTAATGAATTCTATTTGCTCCTGCAACTCCAGTTTTATGAGCACCATTGAGTCATGGCCAGTAAGCAAGATGACAGATCCTTTTGCATGGGCAACACACGTCCTTAGAATCAGATTGCTCAGCTTAGAACTCACTTCATTTCATTAGAGAATGATCAGTCACAGCCTAGGAAAAACATAATAATTTCATTTTCTTTTGAGAGGAAACACAGCAATAAGACAAAGTGTCTTTACAGTGAGCAGAAATTTTAAGTGGAATTATATAAGTTGGATGGAGATACAAAGAAAAGATTATTCTGCATTGGCAACTTCAAGTTCTTTCACAATTTTCAGCTGTGTGGTAGGCCACGCATTCCTTTGGCTGCCCTAGTGACATTTCCTGCATGTGCTGTCAATTGAAACCCATGGGGCTAAGTTTGTCTGAGGATGTGGGGAACATTGTATAAAAAAAGGAAACAAATACACAGAAAAAGAGGAGGGTTCCCTGTTATGAATGGCACTTCTCTGAATTGGTATGACTGGGAAAGTGTTGTGTGCTGCTATCAACGTGGCTGTTGGCTGTCATGGTATTCATGGTGTGCTGCATTTTGGTGCTGTTTGCTACACAGCCAGGCTTTGCCATGTTAGAGCTGTGCTCAGAGCTCTGAGTACCTATCGTCAGCATCACAGAATGGTTTGGGAAGGGACCTTTGAAGTTCATCACATCCCACCCCTCCACCATGGGCAGAGACACCTTCATTAAACCAGGTTGCTCAAAGCCCATCCGTCCTGGCCTTGAACATGTCCAGGGAATGGATGTGTCTTGGGGCACCCACAACTTCTCTGGGCAACATGTTCCAGTGTCTCACCACTCTCATAAGACATTTCTTACAATCGTGAAATGACAGAATGGTTTGGGTAGGAAGGGACCCTAAAGATCATGTAGTTCCAGTTCCAAAACATTCTTCGTTTTGTTCAATCTAAATCTACATTCTTTCGATTTAAAACCAGTCCCCCTTGTCCTGATACTACAGGGTGTGGTAAAAACTCTGTCCCCATCTTTCTTATAAGCTCCCTTTATATATCAAAAGGCTGCAATAAGGCCCGCACTGGTCCATGCTGAACAACCCCAGGACTCAGCCCGTCCTCATGGGAGAGGTGCTCCAGCCCTTTATCTTCCTCAGGACCCTCCTCTGGACCTGCTGCAACAGATCAATGGCTGTTTTGTATTGTGGGCTCCAGAGCTGGATGCAGTACTCCAGATGGGGTCTCAGGAGAGCAGAGTAGAGGGAGACAATCACGATCCTTGACCTGATGGCCTCTTTTGAAGTAGCCCAGGACAGTCCTTAGATTTCGCAAATGACAGTTCCTGAAATAAGAAGAAGGGCAGTAATAGCAGCAAAGGAAACAGGAGAAAGGATCAGCAGGGGCAGGAAGGAGGCAGTGAATTGGAAAGGTGGACATTATAAGAGCAGTTTTCCCAGAACCCCAGTCTGAGTCATGATGTTTGGTGGCTGCCTGAGTGGAGTTTGACCAAAGTCCCTTCATGATCTTTAGACCTTTTGCAAGCAGGACCTGAACAGTTTCTGTCATGTTTCTTCCCACCTGATCTTGCTCCTGCCTCCTCTTTGCTGTTTCTATCCCTCTTTCCCTGGTGCTGGGTGCTGGGAACCACACAAGCTGTGCTGGAGCTTGTTGCACTGACAGACCCACACAAGATGAATGCCTTGTCTTTATCCCTTCCACCTCCCTTCTGCTCTCCTAGCACGAGCATTTACTGTTTAGTTTCCCACCCAGCAGCTCAGACTGCACTGTATTCTTCCCAGATTTCAGTCGGAGGGAAAGGGACAAGTGGTGCCTGGATACTCCTTGCTCTTTCCTTACATTTCTCAAGCTGGAGACCATTGACATACAAATAAAAAAGCTGTTGGTGTTACACATGCTACAGTGTTGTGTGATATTGTCCTTTGGAAGGAGAGTGTTTTTATTCAAGATATGTTCCTGAAAACAGAAATTTATTTTCCTGTCCAGAAAGCCAGAATTTGGGTGACAACGTAGTGTGTTAACACAGAAGAAATGAGGACGTTACTGTATATGCTCTTCTGAAAAATAACCATTGCAGTTAGTTGTATGATAAAGGAGGGGAAAATATTTAGATAATGAGAAAAGCTGATCACCCTATGGATGTGGAGACATCATGTGAAAAATGGTGCTCTGTGGAAGTGATGGTGAATGATCATGGCAGGGAGAATTGGTGGGATGCAGAGTCTACACAGGACAGCAGTACAGAGATGAAATTTAAATAGGAGTGATCTTGAAAACAAAGTAAAAAGGTACATGGAACCACACCAGGCTCCTGCAAGGGACTATCATGTGAGTAACTCAGGTAGGAAAAGGGATTTCATACTAGTTTGGCTTGGGTTTATTTTGCATTTCACATTCAGAGTTTTGTGGTTTAGACTTTAAATGCAAATGGATGTGGATATGCATATTTTGAAAAGAGAAAATTTGACCCTTCTCATACAGATAGTTTTGTGAAATCATGCCCTGCTGCTTGTCATAGTAACATGAGTCCATATTTGCCAAACAAAATTCTCCACACATTCTGTATCTGCTGTTATCCCAGCTACACTGCAAGGGACTGATAGCTTAGTCATTCACTTCAAGGCTGGTTTGCCTTGGAAGAGAAACTTTCCCCTTTTTTTCTTGTTTAAAATGAGATTGCGCAAAAAGCAGCAGCAAACTAGCTCTGCTTTAAAGCATCGTCTGCTGCCTCTCTCACCTGTTTTACAGCAGTACCCTATTTTCATGCTGTTTCCATTAGAATTATTTAATGTTGTTTTTAAAGTGGGTATGAATTTTTTTCCTCTAAGCTGGGATCACAGAACACAGATGTAATAAGCAGTCTATTTGTGTTCCTTGATCTCAGAATAGGTTTCTGCCTTTTCCCTGAAGGCTTCCTTCAATTTGCATTTCTACAGTCTTCCTCACCAAGCACACTACACTGTCTGCCTTCAGATTTTGTTTCCAGGATTTAACAAACCTTCAGCACACAGGTAGCATCGAAATCAGGAGTTGCCACAAGGTTTTGCTAGGGCCCTAAATGAGACACTAAGCATAAAGTTTACCTCATCATGTTGGTACTGCTTTTTATGACTCTCCCTCTTTCCTACGCACTTCTCTTCCCTCTCTTCCAGGTTTTGGCAGTTTAGGGCTCAAATAAGACAGATGTCTTCAAGGTACAAGGAAGTACCAGACTCTTCTCAGAACTGAAACTTCACCCCAAACTGAGTGTACAGAACAATTTCCTTTAAAAAACCTAACGTGTTGCTTGATTGTTTGATGCTTGTCCAATGTGAAAAAACCTTCTTTTTCAACAAGAAGCTAAACAGATCTGGCTAAAATGATGTCTTGTTCTGTGTTTGGTTTCTTCCAGCCCTGATACCACTGGAAACTATTATACAAGAAACTATTGACTACACACGGCAGCGGAAGGTGTTTGGCCGGCCTGTCCTGCACAACCAAACCGTGCACTTCCGCCTGGCCGAGCTGGCAGCCGAAGTGGAGCTCCTGCGCTCGCTGCTGCACCGCGCCGTGGGTGAGCTCCCACATCTGCTTCCCAGACGTGCTTCTCTTTGAGCAAAGAACCTTGTCAAGCTAAAGGAACATGGCGAGGTGACTTCCAGAATGACTGACTTTTTATGTCTTCTTTTTTTATTAGCTCTCTATGTAGAAGGCAATGATGTGACAAAATTTGCCTCCATGGCTAAGCTAAAGGCAGGTCGTCTGACCCGTGAAGTGACTGATAGCTGTCTCCAGTTTTGGGGAGGAATGGGATTCACCAATGAAGTTCTCGTGAGCAGGCTTTACAGGTAAGAGTGATGAAAATACAATGTGCCTTTAACTGAAATTTAGCCTCTTAAGTGTCCTATTAAACAATCACCTACTTGAGAAGAGCAGCAGCTTCTCACCAGTGTGAATGGTCTTGTTCCACTTCATAGCATGTCTCTGAAGTGGGTTGTGGAGGCAAGGACACCCAGTGCAATTAACTTCGAGTAGACAGGTGTCGGAACTTAACTATTCTGTTGACAAATCTTGGCTTTGCATTAAAGTTGTGAAGTTTGAACTGCCCACAGGTTAGCTTAAATGTCAACTGGAAGAGGAAAACTCAGTATTTTGCCTGATGGTCCTCTGGTATCTGTCACAGAGTAGAAAAAAAGGTGGGAAAATTGGGAGCTACCAACCAGTGACTTCTTTCTCTTTGCTTTTTGTTTGATTGTAATCTTGATTACAAGAACAGAAATAAAACCAGAAACTTTCTTCTAAAATGAATGAAAATCAGCTTTGTCTTTTTCCCCAGATATGTGTGAAACTGGAGTTCCCCACTTGACTTCTGCAGTAGCCTGTTCTGATAGCAGCCTCCATCCTTTTTGTAACACTAGATACCATGTAAGACATACAAGAGATGTAATCACTTCCAGAAAGTTGTTAGATCATTAAAATGGTCCAGAGGCCTTTTTACACATTAATTGACGTCCCTTCAGATTTTAGTCACTATCTACTTAGAGCAAAATTCTCCTTAAGGAAACAGTTTTTTTGGTATCTGGCCTCAGTGTCTTCTATTCTGTAGAATGACCAAAATTGACCTTAGATTCTCTTGCAGTAACAGCTTTCTGTTCAGCCCTTACATAGACAACACCTAATCCAAAGTTAGAGAAATCAGTCGTTCAGTTAGTTGAAAGTTTTGGTAAATGTGTCTGTGTAAAGTGAGAGCAGAACACTTGAGAAAATCTGCAAAAAGCTTGTTTCTTCTTAGGTAGGTTGAGTTCCTTTTTCTATTTTTAATAGCATTTTATGAACAATAATGTCATTGCAGTAAGTCAACAGATCCTCAATATTTTTTACAAGTGGACTCCTGAAATTTTCTTACAAAGGTACAGACGGCTTTATGATGGCGTTTTTAAGCTAGCTGTCAATATGATGGTTTTCCTTGGTTATTTTTGTCACAGCCTTATTTTAACAAGTAACGTTCATTGGTGATAGAGATGTTAAGAACTACTGCAGTAGGTAATCTAAATAAAATTAATCCCTGTCCTTACAGCACTTACTGTAAATTATGTAGTCTGGACAGATTAATGTCTACATGCTTTTACATAGTTTTGTTTGAGATTTCCTAGCCCAGTATAGTGCTAACTGTGAGCAGGGCTTTTCTGTGTGGATTCCAGAGTGATTTCCAAGTATAACAGCACAGTCACATTTTTCCTTAGAAAAAATCCAGACTGATTCCTGTTGGTGGACGCAGTCTTTAGTCTTTAGCAGCTGGCTAAAGAAATGTATTTTTCTACCTCTAAAACAAATACTCTTATAAATGAGGCTAAGGACAGTGTGATATTTATACTCTGAAATTTTCTATGAATCAGTAAAATTCCACCATTGAGTAACCAAAGGTCCAGGAAGGGACAAGGAGACTTTTACCTAAATAAACAATTACACGTTCAAGATATAATCTTGTTAATCTGTGACAATAAGCAAAGCAGCAACTTCCCTAAAGCCCTTCTTTTACTACAGCAGTCTGAGTAACCATTCACGTCACTGTTATGTTTGTCCAGTAGCAGCAGTATCATTGCACAGCAGAACATCTAGTCCTAATGTTCAAACATTTTTGTAGCATAATCTTTATGAAGTTCCCAAAGAGATGTAGGTTAATCTTCAACACTTCTGCTGTTACTTGCTGTTACTCACTCCTCAAAGAACATACAGTACAATGCATAGTTAGTGAATGAAGTCTCTGAATTTTAGTTATTAGGGTCAGTTAGAGATCATAAGCAGAAACAGCACAAAACTGCTAACTTATTTTATTGATATCTGTAATTTAATCAGTAACATTTTAAACTTTGTAGAACAACTGGCACGTCTTAATTCCTGTTCTCTAGAAGTCATGAAGAGAGGTGCTTCACCGTATAGATGTTTATACTGGGTTGATTTTAGATATGTAAATATCTCACTTGTACAGATTCTAATAAGAAGAATAGGTAAAAAAAAAAAAAAGCTTAGAGCTCAAATATCAAAAGGTTTCGTAGAAAAATACAAGACAATATAAACCCATAAAGAATATGACTGTATTTCCAAACTGTACCCTAGTAGCAGGATTCTGGAGAAGGAAAGCACTAGCCTGGAGTCATGCTTGTTTATTTTTCTCTCCTCTGTCTGAAAGGCCTTAAAGACATTGTGACTTGGCAAAAATCTATTACTGAACAAAGCCATCATTTTCATGAAAAACCTCTCAAGGTTATGAGAGACTGAGGAAAGAAACCTTTTTGAATCAAGTTTATTGCAATTGTTCAGACTTCCTGAGTTTTAAAAAAATTCAGGTAGTGATCTATATATTTTAATAGTAATTATGTGTGCTTCAATTGTAATAGGAAGAACTTCTATGGTCTTCTTAAAGCAGTTTGATTTGTTTGGTTTATTTTAAATTCAGATTGTTATTAACTGCTAAACATCATGTCTAACTGCTTCGAGTTCTCAAGTTTTTCTCCTATGGGGTGTGATGGGGAGAATGCTGTCATTTCTTTACTTGCTACATTGTACAAGACTTAAGAAAGCAGTAGTGAAAAATATTGACCACTCATGTGAAATAGAAGTGTAAGTAACATTGCAAATGCATAGCTGCAGAAGAAACACATTTTCATTTTACTCCTCAACAGTCGTGTAGTTATTGAAATATGAAGGTCTGTTTGTAATTGAGGATAGTTAAAAACCTAAATTCTGTATAATTTTAAGTGGATTTTTTAAATAAGTAATGTATTTCCATCTAGATTTTTTTTCCTTCCCGTATTTCAAAAGTTACTTCAAATACATCGTTCACTTTCATTTTCTATTTCATTGTTTATTGTCTTTCATTCTTTATAAAACATGTCTAAATTTGAGTGAGTCCAGACAACTGGGGGTTTTAATCAGCTTTTTTCGTTATAGTCATTTATAGTCGTACCAAACAAAATGAAACCTATCCATTTCTGCTGACAATTTGCTTTGATGTCTGTACGTAACTGCTGAGACAAAACTTAATACCAATTGCTCTCATCTGTGAAACAAAATCTGCAGTTTCCACCTTTTTTTGCAGAGGCTTTGAGACAGATGCCTGTCTACCACTTTCTTTGACTTTTACGAGTACATTAAGAAGGAATTTAGGAGATGAAGCACATGACGTTTACCTTTAAGATAGCAAATCAAGGCAGTGATGACTTTAAAGTAGACCTATGTTCAACTCTACTTTATGCTCAGAGCAGGCAAGGTGATGCCCATTCCCTCCTCTTGCCCTTCAGAATGTCCCTGAGAGGGAAGGAACAGGGTCATGGGAACTGGCAGGCACGACTGTGGGCTGTGCCAGCCCGGTCAGAGGTCTGCTGCACTGAGTGGCACCAGCTCAAATTCTTCTCTCTAGAACAAAGCCTCCTTCAGATTCTGTTTAATTTGGACAGCCTATAGGTAATCTAGCTGAGTCTGAACATGAAAGAAGTCACAAAATATTAGGTTTGAGGGTTCATCAGTACCTTTTTTGGAGAAAATTCTTGCCAGTAGTAAAACCTTAAAATAGTTAAAACCTTAAATAGTGAGTCATGAGAAAAAAAAGGGTAAAGGTTTTGTAATCAAGTGCAGTTTGTGCTGAAAAGAAGCAGTGTATAAATGGCCAGGGAAGCAGTGATACTCTGAGCCACGCAAACCTTGGTAAGGTTTTTTACCAATGGCCTTCTAACCAGGGAAGTGGAGAGCAGCATCTCTGAGGGACTGCTGCCATAATGCCGGGCTGTTAGGGGAACCCAGGGCTTAAATCACCAAACTCACTTTCTGCCCCCTGACTGGCACTGATCACTGCCAGAAAAGAGAAAAAAATCTTAGTTTATTTTGGCAGGAAATTTGAAGTTTCATGAAGACACCTGCATCATAGATAGTGCAGCAGGCTCCTCTCAGCTTGTTTGGGAACAGAAACAGCTTCAGTCCAATTCCATATGGTTTCTCAGAGGAAAATGTAGTGTAGAGCAGCTCCCACAGCAGGCTCAGCTTCTCAGCTGTAGATAATAAATGGTACTGGAAGGCACAACTCCAAGCATGATCACATTTTACCAGCTTGAAGCTACAGACAGATGTAGTGTGCCATGAGCTGCATACAGCACATTACAGGATCTAACAGTTTGCTTGTGCTGTGAATGTCCCTGCTTTATGGCTGGGGAAATCGCACACAAGGGAGAGATCAGACTGGGATAAGGACTGGCCCTGATTTTCAGGAAAACTGGGACCAAAAGTTTTAGCAGTAGGGTAGTAGACATGGCTTAGCTTGTGCAAAACAAGGTCCAATGTCACTCAGGGTGCAGAGGGGTCAGCACCAGCCAACAGAGGAATGTTAAACTGCAGACTATTTTGGATTACACTATTCAGAAATACATTTTCAGGCTGTAAATTACAGGGTTCCTAATCATTAGAACAACTTTGTTATCTCATAACCTTCAAATTAGGGTAGTCCAAGATTAAAGGGAGCTTGTTTTTTCTCCTTCAAGCAGTGCTTGACACATTTCTGAAGGCTGTATGACATGGCCTCTATGGAGATGGGAAACATGATTTGACAATGTGGAGGGCCTTTTTTTTTTTCTTGTTGCTACCTAACTATAAGTTATTAATCACCTGGATTGAGTTTGGTGGGTGGGAATGGTTCCTCATCCTCCCTCTTAAGTGCTGTTTTTTAACTTGACATTGAAGATTTTTTTGCTTTTATTCATTAAAACATGGATTTTTACCATTTATCTCTCTTGATTTGGTTGAGTGAAATCTTATAATCTACAGTGAGTATTTCAGACACATGGGATTTCCTGAATGTAAGGAAACACTTCACAGGGAATATTTTAGAGGGATAGAACACAGTTGGATTCTCTCCTTCCTCAGGTTAACTCCCACTCTCTAAAGAAAACAGCATTCAATGACATTCAACAAGTAGCTAGAGGTTTGGTCCCTCAAAATGACACCATTACAAACTGCCTGGTGTGCTGCAGGCTGGCTCCTCATGGTCCTTGGTCAGGGGAAGCCACCCCACGCTGGTGGCTGCAGGAGGGCTGCAGGTAGTTTAGGATGTGCTACTCTGTCATGTGGCAACAAAATGGTGATGCAGAAATCAAATGCAAAATGTTATTGTGCCAGATCAAAAGCCTTTACAGCAGTAGCCTAACAGTGTCCCTTACAAAAGCAATCGAATTCCAATATGTAAATATGTTGAAATACTCATGTGCTGTATTAATAATGCATTCTTGATATAAGATAAACTATCAAGCCATAAGCATACATTAAATAACTGATACAGAAGGTGACTTCACTAGATGCTCTTTCCCAGCTTCCTTACAGAGTTTCTGGCAGGATAGTTAATTCCATGGTTTCAGCTTCTTATGATGAAAGCAAGTTTTTCCCAGAAGAGGGCTGCTGGATTAAAATCATTTGTGTCTTTTGTCATCTTAATCCGCTTAAATTAGGAGGAAACCTTCTGTCCTGGCTCCCCAGAGGAGAGATCAGCATTAGTCACCTGGCTGTAGATGGTGTAAGAAATATTCCTTATCTCACCCATAGAGACAAAAATATAATTATCAGCTAGGTTTTAAAGATTTGGACAAGCACAAAACATATGAAAGGTGTTCTGGTTTTTTGAGATGTGTCTTTATATGTGACAGCCTGACTTGTCTGTCACACACACCACCAAAGCCAGATCTTACCGTTATTTATAATTTCATATAAACAAGCCCCATGTGTCCAGGATTCCTGCTGCAGATTTCTATTGACATCACAGAGAAGTTCTGAGGATTAGTTACTTACTGTTGCTACAATGAAGATGCCAAATGCTGAGCATTGGCAGGGGCTTTCTTCAGCTTGACAAAGTAGACAGCACGAGAGCAGTAAGAACAAGCAACCTACCACTGTTCCAGCCCTGCTGCCTTCAGCAAGGCCCATAGGAAGGTGGGCAGAGGTAGTTTAGAATTATTCTGGTAGTTTTACTGGTGGTGTTTTTTCCTTCTCCCCTGAGGTAAAATATTTGTGAGTAAAATTGCTCGAGGCTGCAGTAGTGAGCACTCTGGCTAGCACAGGGAACTTAGGCAATACTGTCAGGGTTGACTTGGGATGGTTATGGCAGGTTTTAAATGAGTGATATTCAAAATATCAAATAAAGAGTAAATATTCCTGAAGCATTAATTTGTTAAGCACAAAAGCTCTATATAAAACTACCCTAGAATACTATACAGAACTACTTGTAATATTATACAATGTAACATTGAAGTACCATATATTAATAAGGCTTTTACCAGATCTTACATAGTCATTAAGAAAACCTGGATTGGTTATAAACCTTAAATGGAAATTATACCCTTTCTGTGCAATTCTCCAATACCTCATGTACTGGTTGACTCTTTGAGCACAGTTAAGCCAATTTAAGTGCTGCAATGCTTTTTGCTGCTGGCCCTGGAAAAGCTCCTTCCCCTCCTACAGTTTAACTGCAGGCTTAGGCACCAACAGGTTTGGGACAGGCCCAGCAGGGGTCTTGCTGGCAGCATCACAGCCCACCTGCCCAGGAGCCAGTGGGTGAGGTGTTCTGCAGGCATGTAGCATTTGTATCCAATGTGTAAGTAATTCTGGGCAAGCTGTCCAGCACAGCACCATCAGAACAGCATGCAAAAGTTTAAATCTACTCTTTATATTTCTGCAGGGACTTGAGATTGGTGTCAATAGGAGGTGGCTCAGATGAAACCATGCTTTCCATCATATGCAAATACATGGACATACTTCCAAGAAAGTGATGCATCTGCACTCTTCCTTGAAAATGAAGAAAGCAAGAGCATGACTTGTGCTGCACGCTGAAGGGGTACAGATCAGTAATTTTGCCATCAGAAAGCACATCAAAGTCTTTCACCATTACCACTCTGTGTTTTCCAATGTCAAATTCTTGTTGAAATGAAGCACTCTGAAAGCTTGTAGCCTCCTGTATTCCCTTTCTTCAGTGAGTGGCCTAAGTTTTCCAATGACCCTTGCTAAGCACACAGAAAATATGTTCTTTAATCGAGCTTTATCTACACTTCCGAGCATCTAAGCTGATAATTATGCAACAGAACTTCCATATGAATGGAAGCTATGTAGCTTAATCTCATCTCAGTAAAGTTCTGCTTTCAAGATGAACAATCATGGCACAAATTATTCCCTGCCATAATGAAACCTCAGAACAGTGCCTTTCCTCTCAATTAAAAGATACCTTCCCTATCTTTCACTTTTAGCAAGCAATCATTAAAATGAGCTCTGTCATCTTTGCCAAATCCGTTTCAATTTGTACTCTGCTCTGTCATGGACTTTTGGTGATGGGAGTAGTGTTAAATTTTTATTTGCAGAATTCTACAAACAACTGTTTAAGTGTATCTGAAGCTTGCAGAGGCTGAACTTCAGCAGCAATGTACCATGTTGTATGCATAATTATTAAGAAAAATATTAAAAATAAACACATTAATATGAAAACTGTGCATAATTACTGAAAGTCTCCCTAAACCAGCCATTTAATCTGGAAGAGGCAGCCTGTATTATTGATTAAAAAAATAAAAATTGCGCCTTAAATACAGCACCATTTCAAAAAAATACACTGATATTCTACAGTAGAAAAAAATGTATATAAACAACACTAGCTAGGATAATACTACAGGACACTTTATTTGTAAGTTCATAGTTGGTTATTAATGGTAACATATCATACAGTATTTCTAAAAAAGTTTTTCAAAAATTGTAGATGCGATTTCAGGATCTAGCAAACTTAAATTTTTTTTGAATGTTAAATTCAGCAACACAATAGCCTCAATGATTAGGAACTACTTGGTGAGCCAAAACTAAGTTCTCAAACCCTCCTGTGACTGCATCATAATGTACTTTAATATAAAATTCAAAAGATCTGCTACTGTATTTCAGACATCATGCACTGTAGATTCAGGGACTATCACTGATTGGAAAGTAAGCATACTAATGGTAAAAGTTTAAGTGATTCAATTGAATCATTTCAGTTTTAAATACTTTAAATATAAAGAAAACATTTGTACTGTGTCCATATGGGTTGGTCCCAACGATGAAAGGCATTTGCTTAAAAGAGTAGATGTGTAAACATGATCTGTCACATTTAAATTAAAAAATAAAAAATCCAGTTTTTTGACAAGTAACTTCTTGTCAAAACACGCAGTTAAAGTTACTTACACATTAACAGATCTAAACACAAAAGTAATTTTTGGGAATACCAGTATTACATTTGCTAGCTTCAGGCCAGCCTTTAAAACTCCACAGGTAAGATCTATTTAGAAAGATCTACATATTCTTTGTGCTCTTGCAACTGAAATGACTATATGCCTGAAACTGGAGCTCTAATTTAGAGCATGGCCCAGAATGAAAAGAAGAATGAAAAAGAAAGCCTTGAAATTCTGCAATTACTTCCTTTTCAAATAACCACTGTTTGAATTTTTTCAATCAATTCTAAAAACTATTTCCCCTAAAAAAATCCATCCCGCTATGGTAGCTGTTTCTGCATATTTACAAATAATCCCCCCAAAACAGGGGATAATGGAAAAACTCTGATACATTAAGAAAACTATATATAACTTCGCATTAATTGTTAATGCAATTTACAACAATTTCACTGTTTTATCCATAAAATGTGCCACTTTAAATCAATGTCTTCATTAACTAAGACTACAGTTGAAATTATACAATGTAAACCAGAGGTAACATGCATCACCTCAGTTTAATAATCCAGTATATCACAAAAAAAACAAATAATGAAAAGAGCATCATGTAGCATAATAGCTTTGTCTGGCTTCCTCTGGAGAGTGTTCTCAGTCTGCCCATAGTTGCACCTAGAAGTCCACCCGTAGAGTCAAAATCATTCTCCTACATTTAAAAAAGAAACAACCAAGCAAACAAAAGAGCAAAAAAGAAAAACATGTTACTCTGATAAAGAAATACCCTTACAGCTCACTAAATATAGTTTTGCCTGGTTTTTTTAAGTTTTCAAAACTAAAATTATTTTAGAGGCAAAAACTTATACCTGTTTATCCAGTGCTATTATTACCCCAAGCCAAAGCAAAGTGTAAGCAAAAAAGGCATTTCCGACTCCTTTATTTTTTGCTTCTTCCTTCTTCTATTCTTGAATACAATTAAATATAGAAGTGCCTTTTTAATGATAAAGTATAAAACCTATTCTTGTATCCAAAGCATAAAGATCTAGGTTGTGCCTTAGGAGTAACGTATTTGCACATCTTATCTTTTTGAATAGAAATACTGATACTGCTAGCAAATCAGTCACATGTTGCAGTCAACAATAAGCTGTCAAAATTTTAATACCAATGTTTATACTAAAAGACAGGATGCTTTACATTATAAACTTTTAATCCTGACCCATATTTAAAGAAAGTCAGTTATTCAATACTTACCATTTCTGATAACATTTTATTCTGATTTTTAACTTCTGTTCCAATTTCAATGGAAAGCTATAAAAACAAAACAAAACCAAACCCAAAAAGTATTAAATATGAAGAATCAGTTCATACACAGATTAGAGAATCCACTCAAAAAATACATGACATGACTAACATTTTCCCCAGTGAAAGCAATACCTGGTATTTTCAAAAAACAAAATAACATGCACAGTATTCTATCAATAACCCTTAGGGAAATAAAAGATTTTCCATTTGACTAGATGAGTCTAAAGAGTCACTGGAAGTACTCGATGTTCCTCTTCCCCTTTTCCAGATAATGTCTTACTTGAATTATTGGACAGACTTAAAAAAACCTCAAGATCTAGTCAAGTCTCAAGTAGCAATTACCCATTCCTGGAACAACTGTTAAAACTGCTGGCACACAGCAGAGAGAACCATGAGCATTAGTTTGACTCCAGGTGCTGCTGGAGCTGACACTTGAAACCTGCAAACGCATCTCTTTGACAAGCTGCTGTGCTATAAACAGGAGGCCTTTCCTCAGGGAACTTGTGTAGACCTTCTCTGCTTCATGTCACAGAACAGAAGGAGGAAAGCTGCACTGGAGCCATCCTGAGGCAGTGACCAGGGCCAGCAACAGCCTGGGCGGACAGGACCCAGGCCAAGGCAGAAATTGAAGTGAGGGAGGAATGGGTTAGGGTTGGAATCAGGGAGGAATGAGACTAGGCACAGCTGGAGCTGCAACATCACAAAGATGAGAGCCAGCCAGAAAAGCCTTGGCTTAAAGCAGCTCTGGAGGTAAACAGGGGAGAACTGACACTGAGCCTGACTCTTAGTGGCTTAGCCTGACTGTTATCAGCACACGGGCCTTGAACAACTGCTCAGCTCCTGGGGTGGAGGGAAATGCACTCCAGGCCCCCATGCTTTGGATTAGCCAAAACCCATTTGTTTTCACATGTCAGAACTTGAGTCTCATCATCTCGTACTGATGCATTTCAAACAAGAGTGAAACTGATTTTACATGAGGCTTCTTGGATTATGTGAAGGCTATTCCATATGCAAAGATTATCCCATTGCATTAAAAGACAGAACTACAAAAAGCTCTCCTTGGGGAACCATGAACTGCTCTGTTGATATACATGGATTTTGAAATGTAGCATACCACAGCAGGAGACAAGAAATGAAATTTGATAACAAAGGTCAAAGCTTTTTTTTTTACTCCTTAACTTGCTCCAAATTCTTATTCTAAACCTGTTTAATTTCTCTTTGAGACAAAACCAATTTAAAGCAACAGTATTAGCAGCAAAACTTCGAGTGAGTTCAGGCCTAAAAAATTCACTGGAATGTGGTTTATAAAACTTAAAGTTTTTGAGAACAAGAAATCCACAGAACTTTAATCTCAGAGCTGTCTTTCAGTTAGACTTGTTTGAAAGAAGTCCTCAATCTCTGAAAGGAATCAGAATCATCAGAGCACCAAACTTCTCCTTCAGAGGATATTAGCATGCTATTTCTAAGAGCTGTTTTCACATTACCTATTTTTTGACTGCAACTCCCATTCCCTGTTCCCCTGTACCACTGACAGTTAAGAAGCAGAGAAAATTGGGAGTGAAGCTGAACCCAGGAAAAAGGAAAGGTAGTGGCAAACCATTTCAAGTCTTTTATTTCTCACTGCTCTACTTATTTGACTGTCAATAAATTCATTTCCCCAAGTTGTTTTGCTCATTGTGGTAGTTGGTGAGTGATCTCTCCCTGCCCTTATGTAGATGCACAAACTTTTCATTGTGCTTCTTCCTCTCTTGTCCATCCACCTCGAGTGACAGAGCAGCTTTGGCAGGCACCTGACATCCAGCCAGGTTAACACATCACAGTTTTAAATTTCTGTTGTAAACTAAGTCTGCTGCTTCCCTGATTCACATAACTGAATTTCCTGCTGTGGTAACACCACTGCAGTTAAATACGTACCGATTTGATGGCACTGACTTTTGAACGCAGACTTTCTGTTAACCTGTCATTCTCCTCTTCATAAACACTGTAGCCACTGTTGGTATAGCCATAGCTCCCTGCAGCTGCTCCATCACCTGCAAACACAACAGTCAGCAGGCAGCCTTCCTTCAGAACTCCCTGCATAAACACCCATCCCCTCTCCAGAAACAGCACGCAGCTGGGCAGCCTCTGCTCAGAGGGAGCTGTCAGTCTGACAAAGGAAAGGACCGAACACTAAGCACTATCAAATGCCCACTTCTTAATGATACACTGCCTAACACCTCTCCTGATTCCCTAAGAAGTGTTCCCAAGACTTGTTTGATTTCATGAAAATACCACTGCACAATACAAATCTGAAGTGTAGGAGTAAATCTAAGGTAGTGTCAGACACACCTGGTTTAGCCCCAAATACTTTCTAGGACTCAGTCATACACTTCAGAGGTGTGAACTTCTCCTCAGCTTTACAGAGCCGTCACAGCACTCACGGGGTTGCAGAACATGATGTGGGAGTTCAAAGTTTCCTTCTAGTCATCAACATGACTGCTGGCTGAAAAATGAGGCCTAGGCTGCTCAAAACACTCAGCAGGAACTCTGCAAGGATTTCTCAATTTGCACCACATTATATCTGTAATAAATTTATAACAGTTGGGATTCTTGGTTTTTTACTCCATAAACATGGCAGGAAAACAAAGAAGCACTTTAAAAAACCCCAAACAAACAATTTCTGAATTTGGGAAGGACTTGACAAAAGAGCAATAAATCTGCCTATTCATGGGAAGACGGCTCAAACTAACATGGTATTAGAACAACTGAATAACAGCACAACTAAATGGGGCAATACTATTTACAAGAGCATGTAGTGACAGGACAAGGGAAATGGGTTTAAATTGAAAGACAGTACGTTTAAATTCAATACTAGAAAAGAATGCTTTACTGCGAGGTTGGTGAGGCATCGGAACAGGCTGCCCAAAGAAGTTGTGGATGCCCTCCCATCCCTGGAAGTATTTGTTCAAAGCCAGATTGGATGGGCCTCAGAGCAACCTGGCCTAGAGGAAGGTGTCACGGCATGGGGGGTGGA